ATGCTCCTAGACGCTCACTTCCCGGGGAGCCAACAAGCAGGTCATCCTCCTGAAAGAGGAGCAGGAGAGGGAATCGAGTTAGATCCACTCCTATCAGACCGCAACATGAAATGGTCCATTCATAGTTTTAGACCATACAAATCGCCGGGACTGGACAGGATAACACCGGCTCACATCCAACAAGCAAGACAAATAGCCATAAACTGGTTGAAAAAAATCTTCCAATCCATCCTGGCGGTAGGAGAACTACCAACAGCATGGCAAGAAACAAAGGTGGTTTTCATTCCCAAGGCAGGAAAGGCCACTCACACCACAGCAAAGGATTTTAAGAAATAAGCCTAACATCATTCCTGCTTAAGAGCTTTGTAAGAATGATAAGCCTACACATAAGGGCCACCGTAGACCCGACACAAATATCAGAAGCACAGCACTCTTACACCAAAGGTAAGTCAACCGAATCGGCGCTACACTTGGTGGTAAGCAGCATCGAGAAATCACTCAGCATCAAGGAATACACACTGATCCCCTATAACGTGCTCCCCACTGCTATAACAGAATCTCTCACAGAACTAGGGGTTGAGCCGCCAATGGTGAGGCTGATCCATAAATTGCTTATAAGCAGAATGGTCACAGCCACACTAGGGACCTCAACCCAGACTAGACTAGTGAACAGAGGCACCCCGCAAGGAGGTGTACTATCACCCATCTTGTGGAATATCGCAGTAAATAAACTACTGCGGATTCTGGAAGGAAAAGGTTGTAAGGTCGTGGCATACGCAGACGACGTCGCCATCATCTTTAATGGAAAATATCCACAAACACTTTGCGATCTTATGACCGCTAAGCTTAAAATACTATCGGAATGGACGATAGCGAACGGACTCGGGGTAAATCCCTCGAAAACAGAACTTGTTTTCTTAACAAATAGGTACAAAATTCCACAACTTAACCCACCTTTTCAAAACAATGGTAATCTCTCTTTTAGCGATCACGCCAGGTACTTGGGGTTAGTACTAGATAAGCGCCTCAAATGGGGCTTAAACAACCAAGAGAGAACCAAAAAAGCGACCATTGCACTCTACTCCTGTAAAAAAGCAATCGGGCTAAGATGGGTCATGTCCCCAAGAATAGTTAACTGGATATACACAGCGGTAGTCAAGCCAATCCTACTGTACGGAGTGGCTCTGTGGTGGACAAACTAGCACAACCTTGCACAAACAATGCATACTGACTCTTATAAACAAAGTACAGCGAATGGCGGCTTTGTGTATTAGTGGAGCCCTTCGAACCACCCCGAATGAAGCGCTGAATGCGATCTTGAACCTCCCTAGCCTGGACTTAGCAGGCATGGAAAGGGCCAAATCGGCAGCTATTCGACTGAGGGACACAGGGCAGTGGAAAGCCCAATTTTATGGCCATTCTAAAATTCTCCAGCATGATAAATCGATTCCGAAGATCACGGATCTATGCAAATCCATTGAATATAGTCACACACCCTTTGAGGCTTTGATTCCTGATAGAGAGGAATGGGAACAGGGCCGACCGGCACGACGGGTGCAATCTGTTTCTATACAGATGGCTCCAAATTAGAAGGACAAGTTGGCGGAGGTGTATACTCCGAACAATTAGATATCAGGAAGTCATTCAGGCTCCCGGAACACTGTAGCGTCTTTCAGGCGGAGGTCCACGCTATAAAAGAAGCACTAACCTGTTTAAAGAACTTAATCCTCCAAAGAGGACACCTAAACATATAAAGTGACAGCCAAGCGGCTTTTAAATCGATCTAATCAAAAAACACACACTCCCGTACAATATCAGACTGTTGCAGATCTCTCCACGAGAAGGCTAATTAGCTTACTATCAGCCTAATATGGGTTCCGTGTCACCGGTACATCGTAGGCAACTTCATGGCGGGTGAGCACGCCAGGCAGTGCACCTCCAAGCTTCTCCTCCCAGGAATGGAAAATGTCGGTATGCCCATGGCAACTTGCACGCTAAATATAAAAAACTACTTTAACATACTAGCCAACACCCATTGACAAAACGCACCACAGTGTCGCATCTCTCACCAGACGTGGCCTGTGATAAGCAACAAAAAAACCTCGGAGTTACTCAAACTCAGCCGCACAGAGTGTGGCATGTTGATTTGAGCTCTTACAGGCCACTGGCTTGATGGCGCAAATGCCGGCAGGCTAAAAGCCCCGCAAAATGATTTCTGCAGAAGCTGTAGGGATGAGGAAGAAGTTGAAACGGTGGAACACCTTCTCTGCTTCTGCCCAGCCCTATGCAGACTCAGACTGAAACACTTAAGAAGCCCCTTCATCGATGATCTTACCGAAATATCGGAGATTAATCTCAAAAACATAAGTGCCTTTATTAAATCTTCCGAGTGGAAGACATGCTGATCGGCTTAACACAGGCTGAAACTACTAGAAACGGGACCATAGAGAAGGAAGAAACGAGATCATGCGGTATCACAATGGACCCATTGAGGTCTAAGTGTGTCGGACTATAGTCCGACAGCCGCCCTAATCTAACCTAACCTAAAGCCAAGGGTTAACAATCACATCCGGAGTTGTTGATATTGGTGGTAGCATATTCGTAAATGGTCAAACTTATGTTGCACTTTCTCGTTTAAAAACTCTAGCTGGCTTACATATTCTTAACCTTTATTCTAAAAGTATTAAGACAAATAATGGGGCTATAATAGAATACAATAGATTAAGAAGTTTATATAGAAGAGATCTGCAACATCTTGTTGGTAATAATAAAAAAAATAAAAATATTTCTGATAAAAATATATATTTGAGACGTCAAACAACGGCTATTATTGAGCCAACAGTACTAGATCAAATGTAAGCAGCAAAAAAAAAAAAAACGCCTGTAAAGTTATTTTACACAATAAACGTGGTATGGAAAATCCAAATAATGCTTGTTATGCGAACTCGGTTTTACAGTGCCATTTTTAAATTACACAAACCCTTTATTAATCTGGAAAAATGTTAATATTTCAGATTCACGTTCGGAAATATTTAATAATATTGAACAGCAAGACAGTGGAGATTTTTGAGGCAGCTTTTGGAATGTCCTTCCTTGCAACAAATTAAACCATTTTTTATACATAAGCATGTAGAAATTATAAAGTGCTCTAACTGTGATTATAGGAAAAACAAACAAATAAATTAAAACTTGGTTGCTCAACTTCATATTCCCGAAAGTAGAAAATGTACAATAAAAGAATTAAGAAAGCAGCATTTGTACGCCTTCGTCAGGCGTATACGAAGAAAACCAATTTTAATTTAATAAACACTTAGCAAATTGAGTTAAGTTTTGAAAAAAAGAGGTTCTGTTTATCAAGTGCAATATTTCATCGTGGTCAAGGTTTTAACGAAGGACATTATACATCTATTTTACGAAAAGATGGAAATCTATACAAAGCCGATGATGCAACAATAACTAAATCTTCTTGGCCCCAGAACAGCAAAGATAGAAGAAATAAGTCTTTAAAGTTATGATCTATAGTTCCAAAAATGAAGAAAGTGTAATAAACATAATTTAAGTTATTGCATAAAATATTTACATTTGTTTTGGTTGGCAAAAATCCCCATACTGAACCCTCCTCGAGGGTGCCCACTGGTAATGACGCTACAGTGCCTAATTTAAGGTGGCGCTTAGCTAAGATTAGGGGTCGAATCTGTGTGTTTGGTTTTTTAATAGCAAAGCCATATGGGGACGACTCCTAGTCATGGTATTGGGGTACTTAAACTCTTGTGCAAAAAAAAACTTCTGATATCAAACAAAAACACCTCCTAACGAGGTAAAAAGTAGTGGCGAACGCGCCTTTATAAATATTTCTGATATCAACAATTGTGACGAAAGTTATTGATATCAGAAATTTTTGTTTAAGGCGCTTTTGCCACTACTTTTTACCTCGTAAAGAGGTGTTTTTGTTTGATATATTTAAGACCGATTTGTTTTTTTTTTTTTTGTGGAGTACTGGTATCATTTTTTTGACTTTGTAATATTTTAAGGGGAAAAAAAACCCAACTATCCAAAAAATACGAAATGATTTGGTGGATAGTACTTAATTAATATAAGTGTCCTGAAACAAATTACCAAATACCACATAATTTGGTGTATTGTAAGGGGTATTTCATTATTATTATTGCCCACGGTGTAGAACTGGTATTATTTTTATACCCATGCAGAGGATATATTGATTTCAGTCAGATGTTTGCAACGCAGTGAAGGAGACGTTTCCGACCGCATAAAGTAGATATATTCTTGATCAGCATGACTAGACGAGTCGATCTAGCCATGTCCATCTGTCCGTCCGTTTCTACGCAAACTAGTCTCTTAGTTTTTAAGCTATCGGGCTAAAACTTTCCAAAAAAATAATATGAACAAATTATAGCCTAGGTGTTTTTGTACCCGTTACTCGTAAAGTAAAAGGGTACACTAGATTCGTCGGAAAGTATGTAACAGGCAGATGGAAACTCCTCCGACCCCATAAAGTATATATATTCTAGATCAGGATCACTAACCGAGTTGATCTAGCCATGTCCGTCTGTCCGTCTGTCCGTCTGACCGTCTGTCCGTCTGTCTGTCCGTCCGGATGAACGTTGAGATCTCGGAAACTTCTTGGGCAGCGCAAGTTTGTTTCAGCAAAGTGCCACGCCCACTCTAACGCCCACAAACCGCCCAAAGCTGTGGCAAAACAGTTTTTATGCTAGAATAAAAATTTTAACTGAAATGTATTGTTCTCATCAATACCTATCGACTGCCACGCCCACTTTAACGCCCACAAACCGCCCAAACCTGTGACGCCCACAATTTTCATGCTAGATACAAAAGTACCCAAAATATACTAAACGAAAGTATGAAATAGTATTATTGTCCACGATGGAGTAATGCTATTATTTTGCACTGGATTAATAATTTGAAGTAGGAAAACACCAAACATCATCATCATCATCAGTATCACAAAAGCGCCGGTGGAGAACTGTTATTATGTTGTCTTCTATATTCTCGGAAACGCCCACAAATCGCCCAAAACTTTGGCACCTACTGTTTTGATGCTAGAATAAAAATTTTAACTGAAATGTATTGCTCTCATCAATACCTATCCATAGATCCAAACGCTAGTTTAACACCCACAAACTTCAAGAAATCGTAAGTGTGAACGCGGATATCTCGGAAACTATCAAAGACAGAGAATTGGGACTTCAGATTTAGATTCCGTAGCCTTGTACGCAGCGCCAGTTTTTTACGCGAATATGCCACGCCCACTCTAACGTCTACAAACCGCACAAACCTGTGGCGCCCAATCTCACTTTGCTGCTTGCATATCTCCATTTTCCTTTTGTCCATTTAGCTGAGCCGAGTACATCGACTAAAGCGTTCTTCCTTGTTTAATAGGTTGGCAGACTAAAACATTAATTTGTGGGACTCGAATGCTGGGAGTCTACAAAATATATTTGTATATATGTTTATGAATTTTGTATTAAATATATAGCAGCGGATATTCAATAAAAATCTATTGCCAAATTTTTGGGGGTCTTTATTAGCAGAACACTGGAAATAAACGTGTTCTATCTGTACGCTTGGCATTTATGTATGTATGTATCAATGTACGTAACAATGTATGTACGGCCAAATGCATTGAGATTTGTCTTACATCAATATGCACCCCAAAAAGAGTCGGAAAATAGGCAACATGGGAAGCACGTAGGAAAGGTGTAAGGATGCTCTCAGGCCGGGATACAACTCTCAGTCGGATACAGAGGTCCTTTTAGAAGAAGTTTGTAAAGTCACTGAGACAATGGGCTGGAGAGTTATGTCCGAAGGGCGAACGATGATTTTTATTTAATTATCCCGGAGATTTGGACCTATCCGATCGAGGGGGGGTTTCAGGTGGGTGTAGGCCTTGCGATTCTGGAAGGACCTTCGGGGTTATGGTGATTTCGGAACGTTAACTCCTTTCGTGACGGAAAATTCCACGGGCTGGACCTTCAAGCGGGGCTGCGCCCGGATCTTCTCGTGGATGGTCGAAGTGCGAGGTGAGCGTCGTGTGGACTGAAAATCCTACGGCTGGACCTTCGGGCGAGGCCGCAGCCGGATTTTATCGTGATTTGCCGGCTGGAAACAAGTTTCATTAATTATGTCGGGAGGATCTGCCGCCCCGTTACGGTTTACGATTGGTGGGACGAGTGAGAGGATCTGCCGCCTCACCGGGGGAGCTAGTGAAGAGTTAGTGGGAGAGAAAGGGGATCTACCACCTCACCGGGGGGTTAGTGGGACACAAGGGGCTATGCCGTTTCGCTGTAGAGCGTTAGTGGGATAGCGCAGGTGGAGTAACGGAAAGTTAAGGGGGAATATATATGGATATGGCGTGAATACCTCTACCTCGCTCGGCCGTATTGCCGGCCATCGGCAACCTAAGTCACTTGGGGAAAAGGGTGCGTGAGAGTAAAAATAATAGACACTGAGACCTTCTTTTGTCGTTTTGCTTATATGTATATATTTCACTTGTTTTCATTCACTGTCACCCTTCTTCGAGTTTAAATTGCATAAATTTTTTTGTTTCACAAACGCCTTGCGCTGTTCCTCGGTCTTCTGCTTCACTGCACCGATTGCACCTCTTGCGCACTAACCTTACTTTCCTATCGACCGCGTTCTTGCTCCCCGCGTGCTAAACTTGCAACCTTTTGTTTCTTGTTGTCCGCGTGCGCGACCGTCTGCCTCGAGGTACGTGAGAAGAGAGAAAGCCGGAAGCCGCAGTGTGCCCCACTCGTACCGTCCGGTACGATCGGTATTTTTTCTAATTATACCCGTTACTTGTAGAGTAAAAGGGTATACTAGATTCGTCGGAAAGTATGTAACAGGCAGAAGGAAGCGTTTCCGACCCCATAAAGTATATATATTCTTGATCAGGATCACTAGCCGAGTCAATCTAGCCATGTCCGTCTGTCCGTCTGTCTGTCCGTCCGGATGAACGCTGAGATCTCGGAAACTATAAGAGCTAGGCGTGCAGATTCCTGAGCTTCTTACGCAGCGCAAGTTTTTTTTAGTAGAGTGCCACGCCGACTCTAACGCCCACAAACCGCCCAAAACTGTGGTTCCTACAGTTTTGATGGTAGATAGAAAATTTAAACTGAAATGTATTAGTCTTGTCAATACATATCGATTGACCCAAAAAAAATTTTGCTACGCCCACTCTAACGCCCACAAACCTCCCAAGAAAAAAAGCGATGACGTCAGAGTCAGACAATGCGAAATATTTGTACGCTTGGATGTGTGTGTATGTAAATAGTTGCCGGCCGAACTTAGCGGCAAAGAAAAAAGCCTTTATTCTATTGAATAATGAACCCTTTTTCCATTTGTCCCATTGACGGGCAAAAACCTTTAAAGATCTGTACATCTTTATTTATCTCTTTCAATGAACATGTATTAGCTTAATAAATACCAATAGATTGTCCCAAAAAACTATTGCGATTTCAGTCCAATGCTCTCGAAACAAAGTACTTAGGACTAGCCTTAACACTAGAGCCAGAAAACGACATACGTACATACATATGTATTTATGCATGTGTGTGGGTGTCAAAAATTGCAAACTAATATCCGCGGCAAATATAATTCTTTCAAACAAAGCTATTCAACCAAATATTGTGAAATACAGAATGTGCCTTAAAATTTTGTATGTTTAGCAAGCATACATAAATATAAATGTTTTTTGTCTATTTTATGTGTTGCTTTCTCATTCTCGGCGCTGGCTAAAACGAAAGCAGAGCCGAAAAATGAGACCAAGGGAGAGAGACTAAGTGCGCGGCTAAAATTAAATAATGAACAAAAAAATAAACTATTTGTCCTTTTTTCCCCTGTCCTCTAACCACTTTACTTATTGCTGTAATTTTGTTGATTGCTTATGTTCAACAAACATATATTAATACAAATGTTTTTATTCTATTTTATGTTTTGCTCTCTCTTTCTTGGCGCAGGCTGTAACATATGCTGGTCAAAAAAACAATGACAGTTAGAGCGCTGCCAACGCTAAGAGAGAGCAGGTCAAAAAAAAAAGAGAACGAAAAGCACTGCCAACGATAAGAGCGTACAGTGCGCTGCTAACTTATTCTATTGAATAATTAACAATTTACTCCTGTTCTCTACCCTAACACCAATTCATTGGTCTATTAATTTCAATTACCTAATTCTGATTATTGTTAGATTTAAATTGCTGAAAAGCAACAGCATGGGCGCGGGAGGGAGGGCTTTTGCTCTTTGCATTTTTTCCCTTCTTAGTGCATTTTTATGCGCCAAAAGAGAAGTATATTTGGGGGAAAAGGACCGAAATCCGTGCACGGTAAATTGGCGGGCTAAAACTATACAGCGCTGTAAATATTAGTCGTCATCTAGCTTTCTTTGCGTCCAGACGTGCTTAAAAATCTCGCTATGTTACTTCCCCGCTGTCCCGAGTGCAAAACCGATGTTACATTGGCCCAGCTTCGCGCTTCGGATGCTGTTCGCTGCTCTTCTTTGTGCCGTCGCGCCTATCATACTTCTTGCGTAGCCCTACCGGATGATGTGCTCAAGCTCTTATTAAATCCAAATATACTATGGCAATGTGATAGCTGTGTGGTTGCGAATGATTCGCATTCCAAAATAGATGAATTCGATGAAAAATTGAAAGCCCTGGAGCGCTTATATCAGGGCCTTCAAAATAAATTCATGGAGGCGTTCCCCCCTAAAGATGATGCATTGCATCAGAATGTAAATCCCAAACCTCGTCTACCGAGGCCTACCAACGTAGCTGCAGCTCCCCTGTCATATGCGGCTGCTGCTGCTACGGCTTCCGCAGTCGTTGACCCTTCTAATCATGCTCTGGATATGGAGAGAGGAAATTTCATACAAGTACGAAATAAGAGGAGAAGGAACAACAACAAGCCCAATAAACATGTTGTTGGAGTGGCTCCTAATGCTGAAGACCTTCATGTTTTGCCGACCAAGAAATTTTTGCATGTCGGAAAGTTTGCAACTGATACAGAGCCGAATGCTGTTTTAAAATATGTGTCCACCAAGCTTAAGGTGGATGCTAGTTCTCTCACTTGTGCAAAGCTTGTAAAAAAAGATGTCGACGTTCAAACTTTAAAATTTGTAAATTTCAAGCTTGGTATCCCTGATCAGCTTTACGATATAGTCTTCAAAAACGATTTCTGGCCGAACTCAGTTAAGGTCAAAAGATTTATTCATAGAGAGCGGGCCACTGTGGTAGGGGATGGAATTTTATCTAATTTGCCGGAGCCTGGACCAACTTCATCATCAAGTCAGCCGTCAAAAAACCCCTAGTGTTCGACGCCACTGGCGTCGATACTTTTGCGGGACATCGTCTGCAGGCCTTTCCTCATTTGTCGGAGTCGTTTTCGCAACAACATCGGCAGCTGCTTGCGTTTCTCACTGCGCTCTCTTCATCTTCTGACTCTCTCCTAACGCACCATCAACAACATCAGCCGGAGCTTTTGTTGTCCACTTTGTGCGACATTCGCCGTCCGCCTGGCTTGAATATCGGCACGCTCCTCGGAGTTTCGCTCACATCACTTTCCGTGGCTCTCCTGATGCTTCATCAACAACATCAGCCGGAGCTTTTGTTGTTTGCTTTGCGAGACGTTCGCAGTCCACCTGGTTCTAATATCGGCGCGCTCCTCGGAGTTGCGCTCTCATCATCTTGCGCCTCTCTCCCGTTGCACCGTCAACAACATCAGCTGGAGCTTTTGTTGTCCGCTGTGCGCGACATTCGCCGTCCGCCTGGCTCTAATATCGGCGCGCTCCTCGGAGTTGCGCTCTCATCATCTTGCGTCTCTCTCCGGAAGTACCTAGAAAATCGGGTGGATTCTTACTCTTCATCGCCTAATAGTTATGCGCTCTCCGTCTCTACCTTTCTGACGTTCGACTTTCTACAACAACTCTCTCAGAGTGCTCTCTCTGAAGGTGCTCTTTGGAGATGCTTTCGCCATCAACAACAACAATGGACTGCGGCTGCTGTAGTACGTTCTCGCTCATTATTACCAGGAGTGGATTCACCTGCGTGCAGTTATATCTTGAATGCTAATATTGACTGCCCACCTAATATTTGGAGCGCCGATCACCAGCCTATTCGTATCCGTACCACTACTTTACTGAAGGTTCTTACAAATAATTTTATTAATTATGATAAAATCCCAGCGAGGCCTCTTACGGATTCGGGCCATGATGCTGGACCAGTTATTGATAGCATGACCATGGATGACCGGATATGCGCTAACAATACAAATTTTAATATTTATTTTCAAAATATCGGTGGTATGCGTACGAAAGCTCAATCCCTTTTCCAGGCAACGTCTCATGGTGATCATGACGTCATCATTTTTGTTGAAACCTGGCTCAACATGGATTTCTTCGATAATGAATTCTTCGATACAAATCTTTATCATGTGTTCCGTAAGGATCGAGATTCCGTTAAAACACGATGCTCCAGAGGTGGCGGAGTTTTAATTGCTGTGCGGCGTGAGCTGCGT